GGAAGTGGAACAGAATTCTTCCTCCGTAAGCCATGCGTGTTGTAAGAGGCAACTAAAATGCCGGGAGCAAGGGGCTAGTAACCTCTTCTCCTGTATATATTACTAAATGTAAAAGGAGAAACTTTCGTTTTTCCTTTTGGGCCACCCCGCCTCGGTGGGATACGGCCGGTGTGTTGAAAGAAAGAAGAAGAAATTGCTATAAAAAATATACGTATGTATTTACTTATTATAAAACTATTAGTATAAATAAAATTCCCACGTGTTTACTAAACTAACTTGCTATATAAATGAAAAACACAAACATACATTTTTTTTTTTTTTGCATCAAAGGAAGTTTCATGAAGTCATGACCTAATGAAGTTCCCATGAAAAGAGATGTCATCACAAAAATGGTTTATAGTGTTCCGCGTCTCCCGTCCACCAGCCTAACAACACCTACCTAACCTGCCGTACGTACACTATTAGATGCACAAAGAAGCGAAACAATTCCTATCAGCACAAACACTGCCAAACACTTGGAAGCTACACAATATAAATTAAGCTCAAGACTTGGTAAATACAAGTGGGCCCCACTGTACAGCACTTCGCTTTACGGCGTTTTGCTAATGCAGCAGTTGTCAATTATACCCATTTCTCATATATTCAGACTTCCTACAATCAATATATTTACCAAACACTATAAGCTAAGAATGAGAATATTTTAAGGTAAGTAATGTGTGTACTGTACATGCATTTTTTAGGCCTAGCTCTATTGCTCACTTAATATATGATAATGTAAACATGTTATCAGGCTTTTACATGCATTTGAAGTGGGGGAAAAAAAAAACAAGTCTTTCACTTTACAGCAGTAGCCCAGAACTTACCCTACTGTATAAGCAGGGCCCTATAGTAGCCCGGAACTTAACCAGTTGTATAAGTGGGGCCCTATAATAGCCCGGAACCTAACCTGCTGTATAAACGAGGCTCTACAGTAGCCCGGAACATAACTTGCTGCATAAGCAGGGCCCTACAGTAGCCCAGAGCCTAACCTACTGTATAAGTAGGGCCCTACAGTAGCCTAGAACCAAACCTGCTGCATAAATGGGGCCCACCTGTATTACTCAAGACTACAAAGCACAAAAAAGATAAACCAAACAAAAGCTTTATCATAAAGGATAGTGCAATGACTAATCTGAATACACATCCATTCATAAGTCATTTCTCAATGTGAAAACATTTCTGCTAACAGTTTAAATAACTTATTTATAATTTTATAATAGTATGTATAAAGCTTACATATGAATAGAGCATTACCATTCAGTATCAAATGGTACACTTGCAAGTTTAATGTAAGATGTTTATACAGTACTGTGTAATGTTTACATACTACTGTGCAATGTTTACACAGTATTACTTCCGAATCCGTGACTGAATATGCTTATTTAACCCTTTGACTGTCGCGGCAGTATATATACGTCTTACGAGGTACGGTGTTTGATGTATATATACTCATAAATTCTAGCGGCTTCAAATCAAGCAGGAGAAAGCTGGTAGGCCCACATGTGAAAGAATGGGTCTGTGTGGTCAGTGTGCACCATATAAAAAAAATCCTGGAGCATGCAGTGCATAATGAGAAAAAAAAAACTCCGACCGTTTTTTTTTAATTAAAATGCCGAAATTTGTGGTCTATTTTCGTACAGTATTTATGGTTATATTCTCGTTTTCTTGGTCTCATTTGATAGAATGGAAAACATATTATAGAAATAGAGGTGATTTTGATTGATTTTACCATAAAAAGAACCTGGAAATGGAGCTCAAAGTAGGGGAAATGTTTGATTTTTGCCAATGTTCAAAAGTAAACAAATGATGTCATTGTCCAATAAATGTCCAACTAGCCATTCTAATATGCAGTCATGAATGGGTTGATGTTATTTATACAATTATTACAGTACTGCAATAGTCTGCATAAAAGTAAGTCTTATATTTGTTGTTTGAATAAAAATTCAAAATAGAAAGCAAGAGTAATATCAGAGGGGCCTGGAGACATGACTGATGAACAAAGAAAATGTTATTTTAGAGCCAGGAATGTCTGCATTGTTCATTCTAGACCTTATTTTGAAATTGTCACATTTTTTAATTTTCGTGAAATTGGCCAAATTGCAAATTTCTGACCACATTATTGGGTAGTTGAAATAGGTAAATGGGCAGTTTCTTGTACTCAATCGATAGAAAAAATGGAGTTCTAAAGAAATAACTGAGTTTGGTCGACTGGAACAACAGAATTAGCCGAAAATAGGGCTCAAAGTGGGCAAAATCGCCGATTTGTAAATATCGCCTAGGTCGCTAACTTCGCTAGAGTATAATTCCATCAGTTTTCCATCAAATTTCGTTTTTTGGTGTCATTACAATCGGGAAACAATTCTCTATCATTTCATTAAGAAAAAATAATTTTTTTTTTTTTTAAATTTTGCAACACCAGGAGACACCTCAGGATTGGGGGTTGCGACAGTCAAGGGGTTAAGGATGTTCATTACCCTGAAAAATAACACAGATGAAATTCATTATGGAAATAAAATAAATTACCTTAAAATCTTGTCTCCACACTGAAATATCACTTTACGAAAAGTTAGTGAGAAAATAAAAAAAGGTATATAGCTCAAAGCTAATATAGCACACAAGACAATGCTTGCATTTTCACTAATGTTCAGAATTAACTCAAATCAAAACACCCATTTATGTTATTGCATCCAATTTTAATGACTTAGCTAACAGCTGCATATTCCTATACAGACAGGCCCTGGTTGACAGCACTGCGCTTTATAGTGCTTTGCTTGACAGTGTACTGCTAATGCAGCAGTTTTCAATTACTATACCCATTCATCATTTCTTCAAACTTCCTACAATAAATATATATTCACCACTCACTTTAAACTAAGGATGAAAATATTTTAAGTAATATGTGGACTGTATATGCAGTTTTTAGGCCTGCTGTATAAGCAGGGCCCTACAGTAGCCCAGAACATAACTTGCTGTATAAGCAGGGCCCTACAGTAGCCCAGAACCTAACTTGCTGTATAAGCAGGGCCCTACAGTAGCCCAGAACCTAACTTGCTGTATAAGCAGGGCCCTACAGTAGCCCAGAACCTAACTTGCTGTATAAGCAGGGCCCTACAGTAGCCCAGAACCTAACTTGCTGTATAAGCAGGGCCCTACAGTAGCCCAGAACCTAACTTGCTGTATAAGCAGGGCCCTACAGTAGCCCAGAACCTAACTTGCTGTATAAGCAGGGCAGGGCCCTCTTGTATACTTGCAACAATTATAAATGTACACTCCTTAAGTAAAAAAATAATTCACCAATCACTTCCCACCTAAGCAAGACTAAATAAAAACAAATTATTACCATATACTGTTGGTTAGTCAAATTCAAGGTCTACTCAATTCCTTAAAACTGGTATTTTAGTTGCCTTCTACAATACACAAGCCTAAGGACAAGGATTCTATCCCACTCGCCTCGGAAATTGAAGAGAAGTTACAGATTTAGGGAACTACTTTAAAAAATTTCATGAAAAATTTCAGTTTAAACCCCCCTGAAAGTGGCCACTTGGTGACTGAAAAAAAACAAAAATTTGATGGAAAAAAAAAAGTAAAAAAAAAGGAAATGCAAAATACCATGAGGGAAACAATACACAAAAACCCCGCCCCATAGGAAACAAACTCATAACGACGTTTCTGTCCGACTCAGATTTCTTTCCCCTCGTTGGATTTTGGGGGGGATGAAAAAGTTTTAAAGGGGATGGAAAGACAAAAACGGGCCAGAGTTTGAAAACTGAAGTGGGCTTTGTGAGGCTGTGCTGTGTTTTACCTGCCATGAAAATGAAAACTGGTGAAGTGCTCTAGTTCGGGGAGAGAGGGAGCCACACAGGCAGTGCATGCACTGGGGGACTTCCTCCACCAACCTGCCCGTCTCTTGGGGTACGCTCCCCCCCCCCCTGCGGGGGAAAAACTGGGTTTCAGATCCCCCACCTGAGCCCCCGGGGACCCACACCAACTACTCCCTACCCTGCCCCCCCAGCCTACTGACTGGCTTCCCAGTAGCTGTCTTTGATATTGTGATGCCAAATTTCACTGTTGGGGCCCCACCTTTTGTGGCTTAACCTCTCACTGATGGTGTTCCGGTTTAAATGACACACCTTGCCCCCCCTGCCCCTACACGAGTCCCCAAAGTCTTTCTTAGGTGGCATGTGGTTATTGGGGGGGCCGGGGGGAGCTGCGCTGGTTTGTTTAACGGAACAGGTGGTGGGGGTCCCCAGGCTGGGTAAATGGCGGGGGGAGGGGGTTTCTTAGACATTTTGAGTTTGTGAAAGGACTTGTTCTGCGTTCCCATGGGTGCAGGTGAACGAAGGCGGTTAAAGCCGCTTTTGGTGGTAACAAAAAGTCCCTTTCCCCCCCGTTGCTGTAGTGATTATTTTGTGCCAGGAGAGCAGAAACATTCACTCTCGGAGTCACTTGCACCACCTGGGCCTGACTTCGAACATCCCCAGGTCCTGTGACCGCACCACCCCACGTTCTACTGTGCCCGCAATAACCCGTAAACGCGGGCCCCCCAACCCTCACCCCCGCCCGTCCACCACCCTCAATTCCCCCTAAGCTGAAATCAAAATGATTTGTAAGAAAAATAAAATAAAAAAAATGTGTAACTTATAATCAATGTTGATGCACAAAATATTTATCACAATACAAGATAAAAGTGGTATGAAATGTTCACTTCTAAATCAAATTTGAACAGGAGCAAAATATACATTTAAAAAAAGAAGAAGAAATGTGCATAAGACTGAAAATCATAATAAAAAGAATGCTGGGACAATGATCTCTTAATAAAGAGCAAACATCGGTGAGTTACTCTCCATGACTGAAGCCACATAGAATATAAAATGCCAACATACCGTGGCTATAGTCTTGTGTCTGCTGCTGGCTGCCGGGACACAACTCTGGTCAATGCTCAAGTGATACAACCAACCAACATGGGTCTAACACACATCCTAAGTCAGCCGCAAGTCTTGTCAAGAGTAAATAACAATAAGTATTTTGTGGCTAAGATAAGCACGAGTGAAATGTGGCACCTCGATATAAAAAAAATTTAACGACACTTCAAAAGTACAACTATCTTTTAGAATGCCACCCCAAACGCCACAATAAAATGCAGCAGAATCTTTTGGTATATTTCCCTTTTTATTAAGAAACAGGGGACACAAAAAGAAATTTCAACATTAACAATGAAATATGCCCTACGCAATGCAAAACTGTCTATAAACACCACGGCAAGTAACCACAGGAGACTTTCAGTGACTATTTGTATTTAACAAATCACTGAATTTATTGCAATACAAGACTGTCAAGAACAAGATCATTTGTTCAGTGACATACAATAATAAATTCATGACTTGATTTATACAAATATCCACATATACCATAATAAAACTAAAGAGGAGTACTGACCTATAGCTCTTAGCTGCCGTAGTTACAGTCCTGGTCACCTCAGAAGTCGACACACTGTACATGACTGGCCGAATTCCCACTCCTGGCTGAACACCTCGAGCAATGCCTGTAGCTGCAACACATCAAGTAAAACAAATAAATTGTGATGCCTGTGCAGTTCTGGCAGGACACTTATTGAATGAATGATAACCAATATGTTACCTTCTATAGTTCACCCAACTTGGGTGGAATATAGAAGGTAACATTTGTTTTATGTTATTTCTTTTTTTTATCACACTGGAAAGATTCACCAAGCAGGTGCACCGAAAGAAAAACTTCACCATCATTCACTCCAGTCACTGAATTGCGAAGCGAGCTTTACAAAACAGTTTAAATGCAACATTAACACCCTCAAGATGAGGCATTACTCCTCTCCAGGACTCAAGTCGGATTATAAAAAAAATTAAATTTACAAAAAAATTTTGTTCTAAGGAAAATACTAAAATCACACAACAGAAGTGAACTACTCATGAAAGTATGAATGGAAGCCAAGTTTCACAAAATCAGTCACTAATCAACTGATTAATAAATAAAAAAGTGATTATAAAAAATCGAATTATCAACAGCATTTCAATTATATTATGAAGATCAAAAGTTTAACACTATATGAATACGTAATGAACAGAATAAATGTCTAAAAATACCTCTTGTATACCACTGATGAGTTTCGAGAATTTTTCTACTCGTGGAGCCTGGCCTAGGGCCAGGCATGACAAATTTTTTCACTACAGTATTATATGATACAGTATATAATTTATAAAAATATATAACCAATTTAACTATAATCATTAACATTTTAATTCTGAATTTAGCCAAAGTTAATACATTAATGTACTCTTTACTTACTTGGACCAGCGACTGGAACAGAGTTAACAGTAGCTGTAAGCTGCACAGCTTTAGTGACACTACTCATAGCAGCAACCCCTGGGGGAACACTATGAGGTGGATTGCTAACTCCTGCAGTAGAATGGGGCCCAGCAGATACATGGTGTTGAGCCACATTCATTCCTAAATTCAACGGCACACCCGTGACTTCATCAATCCCGGGGGAAGATGCTCTCACACGAGGGGTTATCTTAGGAGGCGTTAAAGCACCTGAAAGCAAAAATATTATGACACTGAAAAACTAATAAAATTTTTTTTAATTAAACAAGTCTGAATGCAAATCAACAAGGACTTAAAGTGTCTGTACAGTATCACTATACTTGTCGGATTTTGCCTTCCACTCAACGTACAGGTGCTTCTCACTCTATGATGGTTCGACTTTACGATGGTACAATAGCAATGCTCATTCAGTAGTTATCAAACTTTGATAGGATAAACTTTTTTAAACACCCTGGCTGTCTCCCACCGAGGCAGGGTGACCCCACCCCCAAGAAACTTTTATTCATTTATTTACTTTTCAACACTGGTATTTAGTTACAGTAATTATTTGCTTATTTACTTATTTAGTGGCAGCTATTTATCTACTTATTTATCATGCATTCATATTCGACATGATATTTTCAACTTACAGTGAGTTCATCGGAACATAATCCAATTGTAAGTCGAGAAGCACCTGTACTAACATGCCACCTGCAAACACAAATTCAAAAATCAATACAAAACAGCAACACTGACCAGGCATCCTAGGCTGAGGTTGGGTGAGGGTCGCAGGTTTAGCAGGCAGTTGTGGAGGGGCAGGGCGGGTAGCGATCCCTATGCGCGGTGGAGAGACAGACAGTGTCTGCTGGAACATGGCTACATTGTGTGCTTCCTGTAATTGTTTTTTATAATGATCAACTTCTCGTTGCTGCTTCTCCAACAGAGCTTCCAATTCATTGATCCTGGTAAGAGTAAGAGAGTAAAATTTGTACGATAAAGGAAAAAGTTAAAGCCACTATACAGAAGATAAACAACTCCACACGAATTAGTGTTCATGTATCAGAGAAGTGTCCTCTTTAATACACAATACAGAAAGAATTTGTAATTAAATATTTTCAATACAGTGGACCCCCGGTTTACGATCAGCTCCCAATGCGACCAATTATGTAAGTGTATTTATGTAAGTGCATTTGTACATGTATGTTTGGGGGTCTGAAATGGACTAATCTAATTCACAATATTCCTTATGGGAACAAATTCGTTCAGTAATGGCTCCTGAACATACTTCTGGAATGAAATAATATCGTAAACCGGGGGTCCACTGTATTACTGAATTAAAATATAAATGATCAACAAAAAAAGGTAGGGAAGTGGCAGTCAGAGGGAAATCTAAATTGTGAGGTCAGTACACCTCTGGCAAGACAGCAATTGAATGAGTGCTGGAACATATTTCTTCTTCTTTGGGTTATCCTGCCTTGGTAGGAAACACTCATTGAAATAAAAGAAAAACAGCAATAATAATTTAATAAATAGAGTAGTATTTTAGTTTTTTTTTTTTTCTTTTTTTTTTTTAACAAGTCAGCCATCTCCCACCGAGGCAGGATGACCCAAAAAGAAAGAAAATCCCCAAAGAGAAAATACTTTCAGCATCATTCAACACTTTCACCTCACTCACACATAATCACTGTTTTTACAGAGGTGCTCAGAATACAACAGTTTAGAAGCATATACGTATACAGATACACAACTGTATATGCATTTTTAAGGCATAGCTCTATTACTCAATATATGAGAGTGCAAACATGTTATCAGGCTTATATGCATTTGAAAGTGAAAAAAGGATATGATTCACATTACAACAATTTCGCTTTAAAGCAGTAGCCCGGAACCTAACCTGCTGTACAAATGGGGCCCTCCTGTAAGTCATTACACACACACACACACACACACACACACACACACACACACACACACACACACACAATCTTTGAGTACTATAAAGAATACATTAGTCATAATGCCAAGCATCATTTTTCAATTAAGTTTTTTTTTCATTGCTGGTGTCTTTTCTTTGTCTCAAACATGCATGACAACAGGTACATCTTGCTACTTCTACTTACACTTAGCTCACACTACACAAGCAAGTATACATATATGAATACACACCCATTGGAGTTTCTTCTATTTTGTTAATAGTTCTTGTTCTTATTTATTTCTTTTTATCTCCATAGAGAAGTGGAACAGAATTCTTCCTCCATAAGCCATGCGTGTTGTAAGATGCAACTAAAGTGCCGGGAGCAAGGGGCTAGTAACCCCTTCTCCTGTATAAATTATTGCAATGCCTGCACTCTGAAGGGGAGATTTGGGATGCTTGCTGTTTAGAGGGACATCTATAATGTCGTACCTGCATGCCTCCGGCAAGACAGTGATAGTGCGAATGGTAGTGAAAGCGTTTCTTTTCAGGTCACCCTGACTCAATGGGAAACAGCCGGTGTACTGAAACAATAATCTGCACCTACCTTTCTTCTTTTTTGGCAAGTTGACCTCTCATCTGCTGGCGCTCAGTGTCAAAATCTGCAAGTTGCTTCTCTAGTTCCGCTTCCATCTGTAGCGACTTTTTACTCTCCTCCTCAAGACCTTCCGCCATGGAATCAATTCTCCCTTTTTCTTCAGATAAAATCTGTAGAGATTTCACTAAGTCAGGAAATTTATTACAATAACTTCTCTCTTATTAAGTATAATACCATAGCCCTCTCCTATTACCATGCAAAAACTCAAACCTGGAGAAATTTTTCAAACAAATTCAACATTTTTGTTGTTTTAAAAAAAATCTGAATTTGAAATAAAAATAAGAAACCAACACTACTTTTTTTAAAAAAAAAAAAAAAAAAAAAAAAAAAAATGGTGATCTTAGCCAAAATTTTTTGCTACCCACAAATCTCTTGGCCTTTTTCAGGCTTAAGTGAAAAATCAATGCACTTGTTTTTTCACTGTAACTACTATACTTTTATAAATTAAATTTGTATTTTAAAAAAGCCTTTTCTTGGTGTGCTATGGTCAATTTTTTAATTAATTAATGGTTTATGGGATAATTGTAAAAATTAATTGTGAAAACTTGAAATGATAGGCAAAGAAATATAAAGTTGTTTTGATTTTTTTTTTCAAAATAAGACTACTGAAGAAAATAAACAAGATGTGTCAATACCTGTGGTAAGTCCTTAGCTTAACATGTGCCAATCCTGTGCTAAGTCCTCAGCTTAACATGACATGTGCCAATCCTGTGCTAAGTCCTCAGCTTAACATGACATGTGCCAATCCTGCGCTAAGTCCTCAGCTTAACATGACATGTGCCAATCCTGTGCTAAGTCCTCAGCTTAACATGACATGTGCCAATCCTGTGCTAAGTCCTCAGCTTAACATGACATGTGCCAATCCTGCGCTAAGTCCTCAGCTTAACATGACATGTGCCAATCCTGTGCTAAGTCCTCAGCTTAACATGACATGTGCCAATCCTGTGCTAAGTCCTCAGCTTAACATGACACACATCAATACCTATTCTAAGTCCTCTGAATAACATAACATGCATCAATACCTGTGCCAAGTCCTCGGATCGCTTTCTTTCTTCAACATACTGTAGTGCCAATCTCTTCCGCTCTTCGACCAGCATGAGAATGATCTGTTTCTGTCGTCCTCGTTCTTCCTCGAGCGTTTCTTGTACTTTGCGAAGCTCCTTTTCTGCCTTTTTCTTAGCTGCTCTCTCAGATTCCAGCTCCTATTCATAATTATTTATTATGAAACTGAAGTTTCAGGTACATTATTAATCCTTTTATTGCTAAAAAGCTAAATGTGAATAAAAAAGCTTAACATGACTAAAAAGCTTAACATGTGACTTAAAATGCTTAACATGTGACTAATTTATCAGCTTTATTTTGAAAGATATTAACATATTACTTTGTAATTGGTCCCCAAAAGATTAAGACTGAATGCTGTTTCTAAACTAATGACTATCAAGAATGATTTACCGTATTTTCCGGCATACGGTAAGTCCTTGACTTACAATCACGTTGCATTATGTATAATATCATTGCTATGTATAATATAATTATTATATCATTATACACAATAGGAGGTCCCCAATGTGTTTGACTTTTATAGTTCCTGACAGCGAAGACTTACTGTACAAGGCGCACAACAAAAGTATCATAATGGTAAATCAATGCTCATATATAAGGGTTAATTACCCTCTTGCTTTATACTAAAGCTTATCTCAAAGCCTACCCATGACCCTGACCATGAGCATACCAGGTGCAGACAGTAACTGTTATGACACAAATATCTTCATGAAGATGTAAACAACAGCTTCTGGTTACAGTATGCTTGTACAGGCTTTCCTTGCTTTAAGCAAACTCGCTATTCAATGCACCTCCCAAAACATACTGAAGATTCAGTGCAAAATTAAGTATTGATGGCCTGAGTTTAATAGTACAACTGCCATTAGTTTGTACTGCAATTAGTTTATGAAGCCAGGGACACCTGTACTAATAAAAGATTTGTGGTGAAGCTGTTCATTGCTCTAAGATCATTCACATTAATATTCAGGTCACCAAGCAACACACATCTGAACTTATTAACACAGCACACAGGAACCCATTAAAATTTACAACAATAGAGCCACAGTACAAATGTGAGTGAAATATAACCATCCATTGCATTATTTTCACCATACAGCACAAACAACTCATTTTTCAAGAATAAAAAGTTACAATACTGTGACTAGAACAAATTACAAATAACCTGAACTTGGGAGAGAGAAACTTAAAAGACTAAGGTCCCACTCCAAAAGCATGAGACATTTGTAACTCATTTATAAGATGAAAAACCACAAACACAACTCATAACTTTGAAAGCTTCTGTACAAGTGCCTGTGTACATACACCTGATGTACTTCACACTTGTTTCACTTCACCAAATCTCACAGCATCCCACACACACAATGATAAATCAAGCTGTTTTTTAAAAGTAAAAGAAGGGAGCTTGAGACCATGATGTCTTTTATATTTCAAAGTTTGCTTCCTCGGTAAGGCCAATTATCCCAAGCTGTGTATATCATAGTCCCTCAACCCCTCCTGTGTTCCCCAGCCACCTGTGTGTGTCCCCCAACTACCTGCATGCATTTCCCAGCCAACTGCATGTGTCCCCCCAGCCACCTGCATGCATCCCCCAGCCACATGCATGTGTCCCCCAGCCACCTACGTGTCCACCAGCCACTTGAGTGTTCCCCAATCACCTGTGTGTTCCTTAATATTGGACATACAGTAAGTTCATACCAGTTTTAAATTAATAGATATGCTCCACATTCTGCATTCCCCCAGAGATTTATGAAATAGAAAGAGAAACATCAAGGGAATAAATATATTCCAAACGCTGAGTTAAAACTGACAATGAATAATCAGTACCATAGGAACGACAGTCAGAGGGACCTTTACACACTGCAGTGAGATGACTAATACAGCAAGTCCTTGACTTACAAACACACTGACAATCTTATGTATTGAGTATAATATCACTAAATCATTATTGTGTATTACATTATTATACACAAGCCAGGTCCTCAATGTGTTTGTAAGTCTAGGACTTACTGTGATAAGAAACAACAAAGCACTTGAGGAGATGAAAAATCTGAACTACAGTTGGCTCTCTTAAAAAGCTCCTCCATAGTACAATTTTTTTTTGTAATAATGTTGGTAGAATTACTGACAACATGTTAGGTAAAAGGACACAAGTGCAACTAATGCGACACTTTATTGTGGCAACGTTTCGCCCTCCAGGAGCATTGTCAAGCCATTACAAACAATATATGGTTACACAGAGGGTATATACAGCCTCTCCTCACTTAGCAACATACTCATTTACTGACGCCTCAGACTTATGGCGGGCTCTCTGACAACTATGCATACCTAAATAATGTATATTAGAGCTGATTTCCTCTATTCTGTTTAATACAATATACAGTAAACTACTGTATAACCATTTAAAAATATACTAAATATGTTATAAATTGTGCAAAGGTGACATAAAAACAATATCAAAGATGGTTGACACAAACCCACTACCATTATAGTATGCTCCTTGTATAGCGATGAATTCGTTTACCAACATGGTCTTAGGAATGGAACTCCGTCGTTAAGTGAGGAGAGGCTGTATATATCATACTTTGCAAATCTTGCCATACCTACATACCCTCTGTGTCCCTGTATTGTTTGTAACAACTTGATAAAGCTCCTGGAGAGCGAAACATTGCCACAATAAAATGTCACATTAGTTGCACTTGTGTCCTTATGCCTAACAATTGTTTTTGCAAATGCAATTTAAAATATACATGCAGAATTTAAAAACAGGTGAAAAGGCTTTCATAGTACTTGCTGTTCAATTTTACATGCTGTCTTTCAATTGCATTTTCAGAAAAATCATGCCATATGGAATTACTTTGCAAACCCTTGCATATGTATGCAAAAAATTAAATATTTATAATTATTGCACATGTGGCAAATAAAAATTATTAGTGCATACAATCTCCAACATTCCTAATAATGACAAATTATAATAGCTGATTTTTTTCCTAAAAGCAATGCCATGCCACACTGCCTAACCCAGTAAAATAATTTTGATGGGAAAGAATGGGGAAGGAAAATGAAGAATGAAGAATTATATACAAAAGATGAGGTAATCATTACCTCAGCCTTGATGAAGAAAAGAGAACTTCAGTCTTGAAGAACCTGAAGCACAAGCATAGAGCTTGGCACTTATATACTGTACCCAGATATTTCACATGTCTCTAATTCTTCATCTTGTCGCTATTGTATACCATTCATGTACACCTAACCTGACATTGTTTGGGTTAACACAGCAACTCTGAGGCATCTTCTAGGGTGGACTTCATAATTATATTGGCTGTTTCATGGTGTCAATTGATAGACCGGAGATGATTTTGGTTGGTTTCAGACCAGAAGTGGCCTGTAACAGGCCTCAAAGTGGCAGAAATATTATTTTTGGCAACTCTCCTGAGGAAGAGTGGGGCCCCTCTACCCCTTGTCTGATTTATGGGTTTTTACTCAGTTACCTCAATTATTGGGACCATACACAAATAACCCGCACATAAAAGAGAAGCTTACGACGACGTTTCGGTCCGACTTGGACCATTGACAAAGTCAATGGTCCAAGTCGGACCGAAATGTCGTCGTAAGCTTCTCTCTTTTATGTGTGGGTTATTTGTGTATCGTTCCAGTCACGGTATTGTCCCTTTTTTGTTATTTATTGGGACCATTTAAACCATGAGCTATCATTCTCGGTTATATTTTATTAGATAACAGAATCAAAATGGAAGGCAAGTCTTATATAGGAGAGGCCTGGGGATGTGATTAATGAACAGAAAAAAGGTTGCTTTACAGGTTGGAATGCCTACAGTGTTTATTTTGGACTCTGGTTATAAATTATGTTGAATTTTGTGTAAAATTGGCCAGATTACTGACTTCTGCTCACTTCTAAAGGTTTAATGGGTAGTTTCTTGAACTCCGTCGACAGAATGGAAGGCATACTCTTGAAATAGTCAGGAATTACATAGGTTGACCAATATAATGGTCCTAAAATAGGCCTCAAATTAGATAAAATCACACTTGCGTAACATGCCTCCTGACTTTCAACTTCTTGCCTGTATAATTTTGTAAGTTTCATATCACATTCATTTTGCATTTTTGGTGCCAATAACTCTAGAAAAAAGATGTCTACCAATTTTAGAAGACATTATTATTATTACCCAAAAAATTGGGGCACTGGTGAGGCTTTTAGTTTTGGTGGTTATGACAAAGAAAGGGACAAGTGTAAACTGCTGACCTACTGAACATGGGTGAAATTAAATCAGCATCCTGGAGACAAAATTAACCAATTTGCCCAAAATTCACTCCATAAGCAGGGGCTTTCTATACAGTATGCCATTTACATCAGCTAGATCTGTAAAAGTTGTATCATACTTGTAGAAATAAAGATTACTATTATTAAGTTGGGTCTAAAAATACTGTACATAATGTATGTACAAGTACCCTATGCACACACATCTAGTGCAAATAACTTAGTATATACAGAATTAAATGACAATTAAAATGGCCTTCAGGAAATGGATCTTTCTCAATAAGAATTTCAGAGTCTAAACAATATTTAATGATCATTTTTGGGAGGAAAGTCTTTTCTGTCCAGTCAATTCATTACCATTATTTCAAATGTAATTTGCTAGGAATTTTTTACTTTGCTGTTCCTCATTAGCCATGCTTGGTGGCTCACTTAAGTTATAGTGGAGTGAAAGAAATCTCTCACTTCATGCAGATTTCCTATACAAGACTAATTTTTATGGGATACCCCATTTGCACTGGTAATTCCCTAGCCAGCAGGCCGCCAGCAGCAACAGCCTGACTGAAGAGGTAAACATCAGACAAGCTTGACCCAAGGCTGGCCTGTGGAAGTTGGAAAACTCTTGAAATATATCAGCTGAATGTGAGACATAAATTGCCCTATGCAATCAGTGGGGTTTGTAAAATGATTGAATATTCCCATAGCGAAGAATTAAGTGTTGCTATTTAAACTAATGCTCAAGGAACAATTATCCAGCTTGCTGTGTTAGACCCTGACTATTTTTTTTTATTAACACACTGGCAGTTTCCCACTGAGGCAGGGTGGCCCATAAAAGAAGAAACACTTTCATCATCACTCACTCCATCACTGTCTTGCTAGAGGTGCACCTACACTACAGTTCAAAAACTGCAACATATTTCCACCCCTCCTTCAGAGCACAGGCACTGTACTTCCCAACTCCAAGACTCAAGTCTAGCTAACCAGTTTCCCTGAATCCCTTCATCAATGTTACTTTGCTCACACTCCAACAGCACGTCGTCATAAAACCATTTGCCTCCACTCGCTTCTAACATGTTCAAGCACATGGCTACAAAAACTAGTCCTGAGAGCCAGTATACAAAAACCAGTAATGCTGTAAATATATGGCATGTAGTTTAAAGAAAGAACATGTCTATATGACTAACACAGACATGAATATAAACAGCAAGGGTAATTCAGCATTTGCAATTCTAAATACCAGTAATTAATGAAAAATTCCAATGAACCATATAAAAAAAAATACTATTAACAGAATAACTAAAGACAGTGTAACGAACATTGTCATTACTCAGTAATAACCTACATAGAGACAGCAACTCAGAAGATTAATTGATCTGTACATTTCGACCCCCTGCTGGGGTCCTCATCTGCAGAATAGGACCTCAGTAGGGGGTCAAAATATAGACCAATTAATTTCCCAAGTTTCTGTCTCCATGTAGGTTATTACTGAGCAAACTATTAGTTGATATGTGCAATGCACTAAGACACCATGGTAATAACCAAAAGGAGGAATGCCTTGGGACTAACCAAAGTTATTTGATTGATGTTACTGTGGATGACAAATAATGGGGGAGTAGCCTGGGGTACAGTAATACCCAAATAACTCACACATAGGAGAGAGAAGCTTATGACGATGTTTCAGTCCAACTTGGACCATCTACAAGTTACTCTGAAAATGGTTCAAGTTGGACTGAAATGCCATCATCAGATCCTCTCTCCTATGTGCGGGCTATTCGTGTGTTGTTCCAGTCACGGTATTGTGCCTTTTTGTTCTTGTTAGGGTACAGTAACACAAAAGAGTAGACAAACACCAAATATTAAGCACCATGAGATGTACTCGGGTTGGTGTACGGAGATCATGCATGGACTACCCTGCTGCATAGTAGAAATGTTAAATCTAGTAGAAAAATATATAGATAAAAATATATGTCCAACTTAGGTGGAAGTTTTCTAAAAGTGGTTCACAAAATATTAAAAATACTCAATGAAACAGGAAAGCAAAAGAAAAAAAGTAACAACTGAAAAAATTAATAACTTTTATTGCAAACCCAGAAAGTTATAACAAGAGCTGACTGAACAGGAGACTGTTTTCTAAGTTAACAGAGCTAGCTCACTTTGAGGCAAATACTATTTGATAATCTTACTTCAGTCAGTCTCTGATTAAAAGTTTTACTTCCGTGAAGGAGCCATCTAGTGCAAAGTGACACTTCGCATATTTAAGTATAAAACTGTGTAACTAAAATATAGCAACATAACTTCAATAGATGAATCTGCTAAAGAAATATTACAAATAAATAATTTTTTTTTCCAAGAGCTTACATGCAGACAATATAGGTATCTTTCTTGGCAAAGTATTACTGAGCACTACAACAACTGTAAATCCTAGTTAAAACTCTTGGTTAGAGAAGTAAATGTATAGAATAAAGTTGCTTTCCAACCTTTATCATCCTCAACTCAGGCTGAAACAACAACCCAAACATTATCATTACTTAGTAGTGTTCATATATTATAATGAGGAGGATGGCCAAGAATGGACTTCCTCACAAGCTGCCAAAACTGTTGCTTTGCCCCAAAATATCCTTTTAATGCCCAAGCACATAGAGAATGAAAAGTCATGATATTCTTTCGATACCCAAGCACAAAAAAAAAAAAAAAAAAAAAATGAAATGTTACACTATTGTTGTGGCTAGAACAATTCACGGATAAAATTCTGAGATGAAATTTTAAACAAGGTTTCAGTCCATCCTGGGATATTATTATGTTGTGACTTTATAATGGTCCACGACAGACTAATGTCATCCAAAGTTTCCTCTCTAAATTATAGGTTAGTTGTAGACCAAAGCACCGAACACCTAGCCCCATTTCACTGCTACCTCAAGTGAGAATAACTGCCCATAATTCACGTTTCTTACGTTCCATTCTTGGCAACATACTCTCTCTTCAACATCCAAGACATACTCTTAAGTCATTAACAGGTAAAAGAGAAACACCGCTTGACACTTTCTGTGAATATAGAATCATTCAGTCTTTTTTATAACAAATTGAAAATCCAGTACTCTGAAACTGTTTTCCCAAGTTCTGAACAAGAAATATCTTGGATGCTGTTCATCTCCAATATTTAACATTAGAGAATGCAATAAAAAAATTCCAAGCACCATCCTATTCTACAAAGAATTTCATTAAAAAAATGTGCACCGACAACAACTTGTTTCAGCTGTGTACAACAGATCCTACACAAGACATGCTTCACTTTCTTCAAGTTTCTATTTACAGAGAAAAATAAACTGCAATACTCTTAAGATTTCCCAGTAATTAATAAATATAATTTTAGCCACCAAACAATGATAGAAAACTATTCTTAAACTGTGCTAAATATACTAATTAGACCTATTGTTGGTCAAATTTAAAGCTTACAGTGCCTGATTTTTTTTTAATGCTAATAAAAATTATCAGTGACTACTAAATTACAATTAAAGATGGTTTCATATTCACTAGCTTCACTCAACCATAGAAGCACTTCCATTGTTATATATTTTTGTTTTATACATTACTGAACTGTATTCTGACCTGCTATGTACATCCAAGTTTCTTCTGATTGTCCCTTGTGTCTATGTTAAAACTATTAATATTTGCTGTGACTGTATAGTACAACATGGTTGAGAGTTTGACCTACTATGTACTTTCAAAGTTCCTTTTAATTGCCCTTTGCATCCATGTAAAAACTATCAAAGCATAATACAGACAAATTTTTGACATTTCCCATCATTTATATTCCTGCTTATAGTTGATCAAGGTTGAAAGTCTGACCTAATGTGTATTTTCAAAATTTTTGTTCATTGCCCCTTGCATCCACGTTAAAACTATCAGCATAATGTAGACAAATTCTTGAAATTCTATGTCATTTATTCCTGGTTATACAGCACAATATGGTAGGAAATTATACATTCAAGCGAGTCGCAAGAATATCAAGCAATCCTTCAAAGAAGCGGAACAAGTTGAACAATAACATAGCAACAACAGACTCCATTCAGAGGTTCAAAAATAGATACGACAAGGCTCGATCACATTAATCGGTATAAAAAAATTAAGAAGCCCTGCAAGCTCAGTTATTTACAGCAACCAAGCTAACAAGTAGACCTCAAAGAAATAAGATGATAGCGTTTGCAGGTAAAATACTGAGGGTCACGTAACTTAACCCTTTGATTGTTTCGGTCGTATATATATGTCTTACGAGCCACAGTGTTTGACGTATATACTACTTCTTTCTTTCAATCACGGTTCATCAGCAGAGAAATCGAGCCTACTCGAGACGGCTGGTGGCCCAAAAGGAAAACGAAAAAATATCCTTTTCAAACAGTATAATAAAAAAAGGAGCAACTTTTTTTTTATTAGAGTGACTTGAGCCCTTTTCGTCCAGCATTTTAGTTGTACTTTACATACGCATGGCTTACGAGGAAGAATTGTTAAACTATCCCCATGGAGATAAGAGGTAAATGATACATAAGAACTAGAAAGAAATAGAAGCAAACAGAGGGGATGCGTTAATGTCTTGTACATGTAATGGTAGTGTAAACTAAGTTAAGTATAAATGCAAGACGTACCTGAAATCTTGCAGTTCATGGGCAGAAATAAATGGACAACTAATACTATCTGTAAACATTAATCTTTCTTTTTTCTTTTGACAAAATTCAGAAGTAGTAACCAATATCGATTGGCCTGTACCAACTATACTATAGAAATGTTATTAACCAGTAAATTCTAGCGGCTTCAATTCACCGAAGTAGCTGGTATGCCTACATGTGAGAGAATGGGTCTGTGTGGTCAGTGTGCACCAATAAAAAAATAATCTGCAGAAGCAGTTATGACAAAAAAGCACTCCAACCTTTTTTTTTTAAATTAAAAATGTGATTTTGGTCGTATTTTCGTACAGTATTTATGGTGTATTCTCGTCATTCTTGGTCTCATTTGATAGAATGGAAAACATATTATAGAAATAGAGGTGATTTTGATTGGTTTTACTGTAAAAAGAACCTGGAAATGCAGCTCAAAGTAGGGGAAACGTTTAATTTTTGCTGATGTTGAAAAGTAAATAAACGATGTCATTGTCCAATAAATGTCAAACTAGCCATTCTAATATGCAGTCATGAATGGGTTGACATTATTTATACAATTATTACAATATTGCAGTAGTCTGCATAACAGTAAATCTTCTATTTTTTGTTTGAATAAAAATTCAAAATAGAAAGCAAGAGTAATATCAGAGGGGCCTGGATACGTGACTGATGAGCAAAGAAAATGTTATTTTAGAGCCAGGAATATCTGCATTGTTCATTCTGGACCCTATTTTGAAATTGTCATTTTTTAATTTTCGTGAAATTGGCCAAACTGCAAATTTCTGACCATGTTATTGGGTAGTTGAAATCGGTAAATGGACAGTTTCTTGTACTCAATCGATAGAAAAAATGGAGTTCCAAAGAAATAGCTATGAGTTTGGTCGACTGGAGCAACGGAATTAGCCGAAAATAGGGCTCAAAGTGGGCGAAATCGCCGATTCGTAAATATCGCAGAGGTCGCTAACTTTGCGAGAGTGTAATTCTGTAAGTTTTCCATCAAATTTCGTACTTTTGGTGTCATTACCATTGGGAAAAAATTCTCTATCATTTCATTAGAAAAAATAATTTTTTTTTTTTAAATTTTTGCGACACCAGGAGAGACCTCAGGATTAGGGGTTGTGACAGTCAAGGGGTTAAGGCTTGGCCAGGGAGCCTGCCTATAAATGTTGCTAAGTCACACATACTACACAAGTGATACTGTTGACATTTGCTAACAAACCTGACAAATGCCACATTCATAAGAGTTCTGAAAAACATGTGCGGTTTGTGATGTACAGGTGCTCCTCGACTCCTGATGGGGTTACGTTCTGACAAACCCATCGTAAGTCGAAAATATCACAAGTCAAATATGATATGCTAAATAAACAACTACTGTCAATGAGTAAGTAAATAAATAATTACAATACCTAACTAAATAAAAGTATCGAAAAGTAAATAAATGAATACAAGTTACAGACTTGTCGCCTTCATGCTAGGTAATTGTCTTAAGTTCCACCTCCAAAGTAACCGCTTTTGCACCATTGTAAAGTCAAAATATCCTAAGTCGAGAAGCACCCGCATTTCTTTAGGACACAGGGTAATGTTGGAAAGAAACCAAGGACAAACACAACACTAACACAATAGAGGAATCAACTATTATCATGCCAATAAATTTATCAGATGCTTATTGAGCATTAAGGTGCACAGATATTAGAAGATGCTTGAACAAGGGAATTTAATATATCGGTAAACCATACCCATAAGTTACACTACTCAAATATCCAGCACTTGTAAATGGTTCAAGTCAGACCGAAACATCATCAAAATCTTCCCTTTCTCATATGTGCGGGATATTTGAGCATAGTTCCAGTCACGGTATTGTGCCTTTTTTGTTCTTTATACCCATGGGTTAACATACCACCGTTCCAATGTTAAAAGGTGTTAGTAATATACAATAAGGAGCTAGGGAGTGCATTCACTTGTAGGCTGCTTAACCCTTAAACTGTCCAAACAAATTTACGTTCACATGCGTAGTGCTCCAAAAGGAAATCTAGGTTTTTTTTACATATTTTCAAATATAACAAAAAAAAAATAGATCAAAGTTTTTTACACGTTTTCAAATGTCAAAAAAAAAAAAAGAGATGATGATGATCTACGTTTTTTTACATACTACTTTCAAATGTTGAAAAAACGTAGATCTACATTTGGACAGTTTAAGGGTTAATGAGTGAAGAGATTTATGGGGCTTCAGTACTCTAACAAACTTAGTAATTCTGGAGTAACATGACACCATGTTTACAAAAAGAATTTGGTTTGATAGACATAAATGTAGAAAATAAAAATAATTAGTCTTAGTAACTATTGCCCTTTATTGATCAATAGAATTTTTTTGTATCTGGAAGCTCCACTTCCATAAAATAACTTCAGACATTAAAACGACTTCAAGCATAGAAGGATTTTTTAAACTACACTTCACACTCAGAGGAAATATCTATGCTAATTTTGGTATATCGGATATAAGTACCACACACATGCACTATACAACAGCAAAACATACAAAAAATTAATATTACCTTAGCAAGTATGTAGTGTAGCAGAGTGGGACAATAGGAAAGAAAAAGAGGCAAAACAGTTGAAAATAAAATAACACAACACAAAAATGATAAAACTAAGCTGAACACCAAAGCAGCGGTGCTCAAGAGTGTGTTTGTGTGCATGTGGTAAAAAGAAAAAATAAAGGGACACACTTTGCATCCTTCCCAATAGTACATTTGAGAGTCAATGAGCCCAACCATTATCCAGTCATTTAATAATGGGGAAGTAGAACAGAATTCTTCCTCCATAAGCCATACTAGCCAGGAGCAAGG